TTACTTATATATATATATATATATATATATAGATATTTGTTTTGTTCTTTAAGAATAAACTGTCATATCTCAAGAATTTTAGTGTTATAAAACTTGGGGTGTGACAAAACCCTTAGAGGGGACTGTTATCTTTGAAGAGAAAAGAGAGGTACATGCAGCCTAAAGACAGATCAATCCTCAAGTTCAGCCCTAATTTGTTCCTATAGGGTCTCTACAAACCCTATTAAAGTTTTTAAGCTCTCTAAAGCCCTAGACTGTAAGGTATTACCTAAAAAGCTTCTCTATATCAGAAATTCCAGTAAGACTTAAAGGATTAAAAGTGCATCGGTTAAGGAATCGGGTGTGATTTGTATCAAGCCCTGTGCCAGGCATCATCTAGTAAGTCTTCCCAGTTGGTTAAATTATTTTTCAGTCATATTTTGTATTTTTCTATAAATTTCCATGAACATATTTTGTACTCAAAACTACATAGGAAGATTGATTATTGCTCCTGGATTTTTTTTATTTGCTTTGGCAGTAAAAATAAAGATCCTAAGCTGTCTTTACAGCAGTGTATAGTGGCCCTTGTAAATAGAATTCAGGTATATTGAATAGAAGAATAAGAAATTTTTTTTAATTTACTACCTTGAGTTCTACATAGCCATTCCTTTCATCAACGAGATTCAATGCTAGCTCAGGTAGAGTTCACTTATAACAACTCTTAAAACCAAACTAATGGCAAGATGCCCTTTCAGGTGGCCTATGGACACAACCCAATCAGATTCTTGATTTGGTGCCTTTGCCAGTTGAAGCCAGGAGTAGTGATGATGCTAAGTGCTATGTAAACGAGTCCATGAATTACATAAGCAGGTGTAAGAGACAACAGAAGAAAGCAATGCCCAAAACAAGGCGGTTCATTCCCATCAAATATTCAAAGAATATCAAGCTGGTGATCTCATGACGGTTTATTTGCGAAAGGAAATATTTCCAACTAGACTTATCACAAGCTGAAGTTCTAGAAGGCAGGCCATGTAAGTTCTTAAGAAGACAGGAACATAATGCTTATAAGATTGAGTTCCCAAGACACCATATGTCCCCTTTTTAAAGTGGCTGATGTTTACGAGTATCATGGTGAACAAGTTTGTCAGCGAGGGATAGGTGCTTGGCATTAGCAAATTCGACAAGCACCTAAAGGCATAGTGAAACAAATCCTTGATGATGATGTCAACAAGACTTGTAATGGTGAATAGTGTTTTTTTTTTTTTCCAATCGTCAGGAAAACATAAGTCAGAGAGTATGTGGCTCTTAGATGTCAATATGAGGGGCTACTGATGGGAAGATTCATAAAGTTTATGATGTTAGAACTCTAGAGCCCAATTCTTCTCACATGATGGGAAATGATATAGCAATAAGTGATCACCCCTTAGGCTTCATCCTTCTTTCATTTTTTTCATTATTCAATGTTTTATATTATTTTCAACAGGATCATTATGTAATTGTCAAAGTGTAGTCTTGTCATTTACTTTAGGAAAACGTTTATATAAGGATGCAACCTTATAATGTAGAACTATGGATGCACCTCAAAAATACATCGGAGAAAGTAGTTTTAATGTTGAAAAACCCTTTGATTGATCATCTCGACATCGAGATGTATGATGATGAAAAATAAAGATTTTAAGTCTCAGAAATAGTGCATTTTACAACATATTATCTACACAGTCCATTTTCAAGATTTTCATATGTTTATAGATCTGCTTGATTTTAACCATTTTTTAAATTTAAAATTTTATAATTAGATATAAAAATAGATTTTGAGATAATCCTAAGAACATTGTACATCAAAATTATATAACATGATAAAATTTGAAGGTGCATCGTACCTCAACAACTACGGATGCATCCGTATGCCACTGCACCCTTTACTTTACGTTTAGATTTTCATTCAAGTGGAAAGCACATGAGAGTCCAAATTTGGTGGGATCTGGCGATAGATTCGGTTTAGATTTCTTTAAGTATTAGAAATTTTTTTCTTTTTCTTCATCAAAGAAAGTCTCACAAGAATAGAAAGAGTGAGTCCTTATTTCTCTATTTCTTTTTCTTTACATATAAAAGAGAAGGAGCCATGGCCCTGACGTACATAAGCTTTTCTTACGGAATTTCAACTTTCTTTGAAGAAGAATTTAGTGTTACTGAAACAGCACTTGATCAAAAACATTTTTAAAAATAAATAAATAAAAAAAAGAAAGAAAGAAGGAAAGTAACGTGCTCCCTTGAAGTCATCCATAATTTGTTGTTCTCTCTCTTGTTTTCGGTTATGTGTTTGTACTCGGATTTGGGTTGTTTGTGGGTGAATTTCTTCTTTCTCTTTTGATTTCGCTGCATCAGAAGTCCCTCCATGCTACATTTATAAGGGTGGTGCTATCTGGTTACATACCAAGATTTTTTTTCTGCTTCCCTTCAGCCAATGAGGCCAAATAGTTCAACTACAGGCCTCTTTGCCAAAGACAAGTAGGACCTGAAGCACTTGATTTTCTGCTTTGGGTTTCTTACATGTTTGTAACTACATGACTGGGACTGCTAAGCAATCCCATTGGCAAAGAAAATGTATGCGCATCTCCAAATCATATGTTTGAAAATTCTTTGGGTAAACAATTCCCCCCACGGGAAATTATTGCCACCCAAAAACACAGCAATTTAATGGAGGGTATAAAAGAATTAAAAGCCCCTCTTTGGTCACAATTAATTTGAGAAATTATCACAAATACACCTTAATTTTCGTCTATTTAGAAAAAAAACCTTTAACTTTCATAAACCTCGCCCACACACTTTTTCTTCAATTTGGCGTTTTTTTTTTACCAAAATAACCTTCACGGTAATCGTATTACCGTGAAGCACAATTACGGTACTTAAAGTACCGTAAATACTAAAACTGTTATATGGCATTTTAAGTACCATAAAAACTAACCCGCCATTTTAAGTACCGTAAAAACTAACCCATAAAATACGGCATTTTAATTACCATAAAAACGAACCCCATGTTATACGGCACTCGAAATGCCGTAAACTCTTTTCTACTGTTTATATTTATCTCTTTCATCCTGTTTATATTTATCTCTTTCATCTCTCTAATTCTTTTTATGTTTATCTCTTCTTTCTCTCTCTAATTCTTTTTAATATTTATCTCTTCTTTCTCTCTCTAATTCTTTTTAATATTCATCTCTTTTTTTCTCTCTAATTCTTTTTTATCTCTTCTTTCTCTCTCTAAATCTTTTCTCTCTCTAACTCTCTTTCTCTCTCCAAGGAGATTTGTGTAACAACATGTGCATCCCTTACCATCTCCTAAAAAAACTCCCTTCAACCACATCCCCTATGAAAATTTGACCGAGTCAAATTTGTATCGCGTTGGAATCGTGTTTGTTGAGTTGATGAAGTAGAGAGAGAAAGAGAGTTAGTGAGAGAAAAGATTTACAAAGAGAAAGAAGAGATAAATATTAAAAAGAATTTGAGAAAAAAAGAAAAGATAAACAAAAAAAAAATTAGAGAGATGAAAGAGACAAATATGAACAAGAGAAAAGGGTTTACGCCATTTTGAGTGCCGTATAATATAGGTTAGTTTTTACGGTACTTTAAATACACCGTAATTGTCTTCACGGTAATACGACTACCGTGAAGGTTATTTTGGTCAAAAAATGCTCAAAATTGAAGAAAATGGGTGTAGGCGAGGTTTATGAAAGTTGAGGGTTTTTTTCTAAATAGACAAAAATTAAGGTATATTTGTGGTAATTTCCCAATTAATTTCGCCCTAAACCTTATATCCTAAAACTTAGAAACTCTCCTAGTTCCTTATTTTCAATTCTTAATATAAAAGGCATCTATGAAGTCATCCCCCCAAACTAAAAGAAAAAGGAAGCACTTCTCTTAAAAACTACTCTTAAAAACCAAAGGGGCCACCCTTTCATAGCGATATCAGGTAATCCAAAGGTAATCCAAAGGGGCCACCCTTTCAAAGCAATATCAGGCAATCCAAAGGGAAAATAGAGATATAGTTCCAAAACAAAACCAAAGATACAGGCAATCCAAAGGGGCCACTCTTTCAAATGGGTATCAGGCAATCCAAAGGGGCCACCCTTTCAAAGCGATATCAGGCAATCCAAAGCTAAAATGGAGATATAGTTCCAAAACAAAACCAATCATACCAATATCCCTCTCTCAAACCAGAGCTTCTTGCACCACCTATTTCCTATGAGTCTGCACTATAGAGGATAAATGTGCAACATAAGCCCATCCTACAAATATGAAAAATATCCCTTTTCTACAAATATGAAAAATGCCCCAGGAAAGGGAAAGGTTAAGGAAATAGAGACAGAGCATGCAAACACCGTTTGGTATGGTTGGCCATAATAGCATCACTACCAATACCCTAGTCCTCCAGCACTAAACTTCTTCAAATCAGCTGCAGTTTAGAGCAGTACAACTATCCCTTCAGTTGATAATTTTACAGAAGTAAGACTACTGAAAAGCTTGACATTATGTAACTAAGTTGAAAGGCAAAAACTAAACCATAAAGTGAGTTAGGATTATATCAGTCAACAAATACCATTAAGACGACAAGATATTAATCACCACAATCACCTCCATCATGTGTCAATTAAAGCAGCAGAACAAACAATTGATATAAACACAACATAAATCATCACAATGAAATTGAACATCAAATATCCATACATAACATTCATAGATGGTAGCACAATGCCTGAGACACAAGGACGCAAACCAGTGAATCATTCTAATCTCGGGGAAAGAAATATCAATACTATGACAGTGAAAGGGGCAATGTACCTGAACTAGTAGAGCCCCAGCTGCATCACCAAAGAGAATGCAGGATCCCCTATCAGTCCAATCAACATAACGCGAAAGTGCATCAGCACCAATAACTAGAATATTCTGGAAACCGCCTCCTGTCACTCAAAAAGCAACGGATTGTTGTTCGTATCCAGAAGACAAAATAGTATGATCAGAATGAGTATGGATAAACTATCTTCACCTTTTATAAAACGAGTGGCCGTAACTAATCCCAAGACGAAGCCACTACATGCAGCCGTAATATCAAAGGCCAGAGCATTTTTACAACCTAAATCTCTCTGGACCTGTTATTAGAAAAAGGCTGAGCAATAATACATTTACAAATTACCAAGAAAAATCCTGTAATATTCTTTTGTGGCAGGATAGAAAATATTATCTAATTCACACTTCACATAAAATAGGAAATAGCGCTCAAGAAATTAAAAGTCCCTGAATTTTGGCATAGATTCAATCTTTCATTATCATATAGGACAGTTTCAAACTTATTTTTTTCTGGGAGAAGAAATAAAAAGAGAAAAAATTGGACATGCACCAAAAATTATGACGCTCACTCTCCCCTTGGGGAGATGATAGGCCAAGCCAACCCCGAAATGCGATGGGGGCTCTCAAATACACGGTTGCTTTAAATAGTAATAGAGATAACAACCTAAACACCAATTGTAGATATTGCATAGCACTAACTTGAGGACTTGTGATGGGAAGTTTTATCATTTCTGCACAGAGAGACAGATTTGTAAATTAGTTCTAGTTTAAAGTAAAGAGTGAAAACATACAAGTTGCTGGGATGTGACTCTTATCAGTAAAAGTAAAATAGTAATGAAGTACATCCTCGCTTACCCAATTTTCTTTGTAAGACACATACCCATATGTATGACTGCACCCATTTTCTATCGCTCTTAGGAAACGGGTGCTGGGAAAGATCAGTAGGTGCAGCTGCAGAGGAGTAAGAGGGGCAGAAGAGTGGGAGAAGAAAGAAAAAAAAGAAGAGGCAAGGGAGTGGCTGTAGAGTGTGGAGGATTTATTGGAGGGTACGTGAAAGGGAGTTGGCGTGGATGTCAGATGAAGGCAGCAAGCACATCCAGTAAGTACCAGGGTTAGGAGACTGACCCTTCATCTTCTCACACCAAGGGCAATACAGTCAGATGCCCCTTTGATTCTTGAATTTCTTATGATAATTTTCCCATATAATTAGTGCAGTAGGCAGTAGCATCATGCTGAGGAATAGCACCAACATTAGGACCTTTCAGGAATTATATGTTTCACCCTAGTTGTTGGGATCTCCCAACCCAAGGGGCAATCTTGTTCCGGAATCTAGCACTAGCGCTCTGGGAAAGCAATCTTCAAGGGATCTCGATTTTTAAATTCTATGATCCTGAGCCTCACTGTTATGGATCTCAATCCCCATTCAAAGACCAAGATAAGGACCAAACTTATTATTAATAGCCAGCAGTACAATACATTTAATATAGTTGCATGGCTAGCCAGCTATGAATAAAGAGATACTTTAAACAGTATGTAGATAGCCCCAGACCATATATGCTCTTTAAGATTGGAACTTACATCCCCAATTGGGGATCTCGATCCCTAACATATGCATTGTACAAACAATGCTTCCTAGCATATGGATGTTCTAGCCATTCATGATCCCCCATTCTCCCTCCCCTCCGATCCCAATCCCAACAACTATGGTTTCACCAATTCATGCACCTTTCTAGTTCATAAGCTGCTGCAGACACAATTGCTTTCGCTTGATATGAATGATAGGCTTAGCGCTTTCCCCACTCCCTAATAAGTAATGATACATAGATGCGGACTGGCATGACAGTGTCAAACACGTGTCTGAATTGTTAAATACATTGACCTTAAGACCTGACCTGGGGCCAACACATCTGTAAAAGTATTTAATCTATGAAGTGAAATACTAAGAGGGTATGATTCATGGATAGAGATACAAACACATACATGAAATGAATATGGAAGTGGGGATATGACTCAGCTTTTCTCAATAACTTGGAGAAGACAGATAGAGGTATGAGTATCCTTGACACCATATGATACAATGCAATAGGAATACGATCAATATCATTTTTGGAAACCAAACACATATAGGGAGTATCTAACTTAGAATGGGATTAATTATAACCTTACATTCGAAGGTCAATGTATTAAACGGCTTACTCAAAGGGATAAAGTGCGCTTCTCAATATTATAATTTGAATACTAAAACTTCAAAGCTAGAAAATGAAAAACTTATATATATTATATATATAAATGTACACAAATGTATGTGTATAATGTGACCTATCTAGTAAATGATAAGCATTAAAAAGTAGGAAGTGACCGCCCTTGATTAGAATTAACTAGGTGGTTTTTGTAGATAATAAGTATTATAAATTATTTTACATATAATCCTTACTATTATATAGTTACTATGTAAAGTAGGGGCCTAGGGGGTCAAAATCTTGACAAACCGTGGAGTAACAAGCAGTACACAGCTCAACTGCATCCCCACCATAATATCCTTTATCAGTGGTGGTATCAGCCCGTATTGACACTGGTACCTTGGACACACAGAGGTATCCGAGGATCATAACTGTTAATAGGTTGGAAATGGGCATGAGTTGAACACAAGATATGTGCTGAGGCAACATTAGAGGTTAACTGGAAAAAGGATTTGGAGACAAATTAAACTGTTGTTACAAATGGTGATATTGTGAATTTATAAACCACAAACCACAAAAAGAGAAAGGACTGAATCTTCGCAAAACTAGAAAATAAGAACAAAATATCTATACAGGATTTATTTTTCTAAATGTCGAAAATTAATGGGCTGATGCGTTGTCATCGCTAAATTGTATGCAATTATAAATTTAGTTTCCTAGCTTATTCTGGAGGTTAAAATTGTTGGAGCTGTGGCCTTTTAAGGCCTTGCAACCTCTACATATTATAACTCTTGAACACAGTTGAAGAGTACAAGAGCCATGTGACTCTAGGATCTTGGTGCACTAAGACAAAGAATCATATAACCCCGAGAGAGTCATGAGGCTGGAGTGTATATATATATATATATATATATATGGAACAAGCTGGTGTAGGCCCACTAGCTCACAGCTACATATAAACCCAACGGCCCAGATTCAATCTTGGACGAATCGGCCACGACCTTGTTTCGTATTTTAATTTTCATTTTAATTTTTTTTTAACAAATCCAAATCACATGAAATTTTAGGTGTTTATTCTTCCCATCAAGGCGCACCTAATAAAAATATTAAAAATTAATCCGCAATAAATAAATTGACCCAAATACCCTTACAAATTTTCAAGGGCATTTTGGTCAATTTATTTTTTGCAAATTAGTTATTTGATATTTTATTAGATTCTCCTATTTTTGAAGAACACACGCCGAAATTTCAAGTGATGATTTGTAAAAACAAAAATCCAAATTCAAATGCGAAACATGGACATGGCAGCTAGATCGTCTCAGATTGAATTTGGGCCGTTGGGCTCATATGTAGTTGTGAGCTAGTGGGCAAACGCCAACTTTTTATTATATATATATATATATATATATATATATATAGTAG